AATTCCTAATAGTTACATATTAGCAACACTTCATTATTGAATGTATCAAGATATTTTATGTTAGTTTTACCAAGTATTTTTGGTTGAAATTGAAAATTGATAATATTATAAGACTTATAGGACGAATAATATGAAAGAGATCATCATGTTGTTTCAATAAAGAAGCGAAATATTGATTTAGTTCACAATTTACATCGATCTTGTCATCTAATTTAATAAATCGATATTCTTTAAGAGAACACTGTACTTTGAATGCACGAAGTGAGTGTAAAAATTTAGGATCTAGATTATTGAATCATAAATTGTCAGCTATAATTTCTCACAAATTTCTAGGTATGAGCTTGTTATGAATGGTGAAAGTAGATTCAAATAGAGTGATATCACGAATGATCATATAGGAGCATCGTTTTGATAACGAAGCCATTTAATGAAAATGATATGCAAGTGAATCCCCCCTCCTCGGAATAGGTCAATATTGGTACAGGAAAAAGTGAATGAGACAGATGAGTCACCCTAGAATGTGTGGACATCAAAATTGTCCTGGCAAACCCGTCCTGTAAACACTTAATTTCTATTGGCTATTGCTCAGCCGATACGATTTGGAGGCAAATACAGCTCAGATTTGAACTCTTCACCTTGATTTACCCTAAGAAACTCGTTTTTCCTATAACTTCATTTCTATTGGTCACTGCTCAACCAATGGGATTTCGAGGCGAATGGAACATAGATTCAATTTCTCCATTCTAGAAAACCTCGAACTATCATCGCTGTGATGGGAAGATAGAGCTCTAATTGTGGATCACATAGAGCGCGGACAAAAGTAGAACCGAATTCCGATTAATTATCTTTGCAATAGGCGAGTTAGCTTTCTTGTTTCTTTATGTTTTATATACCATTTTGTAGCTCGTGAAATTCTCTATCGAATGGCATATAATAGTTGGAGTTTTATATGACTATGATAGGAAAAGTTTTTTATGAAAGTAGAGAAGGGTCTATCTTCTCATAGGGAAAAATGACTATTTTTGCTATAACTCAGCAATGGTTCGGCCAATCATTCTCATCTTCGAACTCAACCGAGATATTTTTAAGACTAAACTGTGTAGAAAATTTCATCGCGATCGGACTCTCCTTTCGAAAGTTATCGTGCTAACGGCCGGCCGGCCGGACACACTGACCGATTCTAGAGTGTACTCACTTTTTGAGTACACAAAAAGCATGACTTCAGTACTTTCCAATACAGAAGTAGCACGAGTGCAATGCAAGTGAAGTGCAATACTTTACTCTTCTCAGGATATTGAATGTTCAAATAACGATTATATGCCACAGAGAAAGACTAAATAATCAAGTTCTTCTCATATTCAATATCTTATAAAGAAAAGATTTATTTTTGCCAAAACTTTCGAAATTCTAATGAACAAAAGTTTCAGAGTACAATTTCATGACTGACTTTCTCACTCCAGAATACTTTTCTAGAGATCGAAAACTCAACAAAATGGATATACTCTTGAAAAGATCGTATATAGAGAGGTTTTTCTTATAGATTCTTTTAGTCTAATGAAATTCTAGTCATAGACAAAATATAAACTGCATGAGCATCAAACAATTGAAATGAATTCTCACAAGATTGGATCTGATTGTATATGATTTTTTGCGCTTCTCATAATCATCGATTGCAGCAACTATATCCCGACGAAATATAATTCATCATGAAATGTTCTGGAAAGATTCGAAATCAATCTATGAATCGTAGTAATTCAATAACAACATGCTTAATTTATCCGATTTGTACAAAATAATATTTGGATCTATCGAAAATTCGTACCTTCCACTCTGCCTCTAGATCACCGTTCTACAAACGCCTTATACACGAATTATTAATTGCTTTTCAAGTGTTGCATGCTATGAGATTTTCCTTTTCTATTTAGTGTCACACTTTTGAGCGCTGCCTTTTTCAATTGGCACCAACTTACGTTGGTCCTTAGCAGCATACTAAATTGTTCATCAAAAGTTTTTCTGAACTGTACATTGGAAGATAACAATCGCGTATATCCGTACTCATTGATTCTCAAGGATGATTGGCTGTCCGAAGGTACCACGCGGAAAGATAATCCTCCAAGGCAACAACCTCAAATCGAATCGTCATTTGGTTTTTAAACTTCGACTTTAATTTTTCCATATATAAATCCGATATTGGTATTATTGAGATGAGACGATGTTCAAGATGTTGTGATCTTTTATTTTAGCTCGAAAAATTAATTTTCAGCAATCAATCTTTGTCCAAGTCAAACATAAACTAATATACTCTGTACAAAGAATGATTATAACGATGCAAACTTATTTCACCGACATGTTTCATATCTCTTAGAGAGATAGTTATGTTCAGGATTGTTTATATACGTATATCCACAGTAGAAAATACAGATGATTATTATCGTACATAGAACTGACAACAATCTTGTATAGAAAAACAAAGTCACAAATACAATTTAGTGAAAACAGAGAGATGATCACATATTCATCAAATATCTCTTTACAAGATGCAACGATTCCTTATGCTTGAAAGATGCACTGCTCAAAGTTTCTTACTTACCGCAAAAGCAACTCCATTATAGTTCATAAAAGACAACCAAATATTTGTTATTTCGTGTAATGCAAGTTATTTTCTTAATCATCTCTGAATTCAGTGTATCGAAAAAAAGATTCATTTATTCTAATAGTATTCAAAATTTAGTTAATCTAAACTAATAGAAATGATCATAAATTTGAACAATTGTCAATGAATTATTAGCTTCAAACTGAGGGTGTGGATGTGGGGTGGGGTGTGGGTGTGGGTGTGTATTGCTATCTTCCTCACACCCACACCTACACCTACACCCCACATCCACACCACACACCCACACCCCACCAATTACTTCATTTTAAATCAAAACTTATAAAAAATTATGTTGAAAATTGATTTGAACTAAAGACTCTTTATAGTAATGCCTTTTTATCCATATAATCAATAGCTACGGAAGAGTGTGTTAAAAAATAAAACTATAGTTTTAGGTTTCATTGTTCAAACTTCTGAAAAAAGATTTAAAATTTTTTCATAAAAAATAGCATAAGAAAGTGTGCAATGAACGTATTTATATTGAAGGATAAGACCAAGACTGATGATGTAATAAATTCTATTATTCAGCGATCCTATAAAGTATCTTGTTGTAACCATCTTTCAACAAAAAAAACCTTGGATTTTTTCATAAGAACAAAAGAAGAAAATTGTTCCATCCGATTCCATGCGGGGAGCCCTGTCTCACATACTATCAGCGTATTTTTCGAATGGTGTCAAATGTTGTTTGTAATTAATACGAAATGATTACAAAAAACCAATAATAAATAATAAAGAGTCTTCACGGAGATAATACAATTTTCACACGCATAAATTTTGCACGGGCCGATCGAAGTACAAGGATGTATATTGATATCCCTCTCCGTACTCTACAGAGCAGTTATATGAATCAGAGATCACGACTTCGTATGCCGATTTCTCACCCCATTCGTTTTTTGTTATCCATTTTTGCGTGGAGTCAATATTGGTTACCTAAATATTCGATTATGTTACAGTGCTATTGAGAAAGAGAATGAACATTCTTGCAACTACCTGCATTCGACCGCCAACAATATTAGGTGTGTCCTTCGCTTGGTCACCTGATGCTAGAAAAAAAGTTGTGATTTGAAAGCTCGACCCATATTGTACGCTCCAGCAGTATCCATCACAGACTCTACGTTCTTCACCATCTTGTTTTCCCCAACACCGTTTTATACTGAACGGAGCCTTTGAAGAATTGTTTGAGACCCTCATTTGTCCTCCTACAATTCTGCATGCGTCACGGGTCTGCACCCCAATATAGAAGACGGTTCCAAAATAGCTGCAACTGTACTGAGATGACCATGTCCGTCCATCGCAGATATAATACTCATCAGAAGTCTTGAGTCCCCATTCATACGCAATGACCCTGGGAGCCGTCGAATCCTTATTGGTCTTGAATGTTTTCACTCCAATGATAGTAGGTTGAGCGTCTAAGAAGACAGAGAAAGACGTAAATATAGACAACGAGATAGACAAAAGTATGTAAAGAAACTGTTGCAGCGAATGAAAGGTAAGGAATATAGGCGAAGTGCTTTGGCAACTTTTTAGTCTTGTGCTTGGTCGATTGCATGTGAGGTGCTTACAGATTTTGACACAATGAAGAATAAAACACAATACAACTGTGAAAGCTTACTTTCTTGACCGTACAATTTCTTCATCAGATCTAACAAAGAAATGCACGCATCTTTATGAACATATAAAACATGACAGTCCTGAAACCATATATACAAAAGAATTGAAAACGATAAAGAAAATAATACCGATCTCGTGGACATTAGCTGTTCTACTAGCAGAAAAATAGAGAAGATAGTTCGATATTCCAAGACCCTCAGTCATTCACTAGCTATAAACGACAGATTTGGTTAGAAAATTTTGACATATGACTGATACTATTACATATTTTGAAATATGAGAAGATTTTATTTTTTGTGCATGGTTTGGGAAGAGGAAAAATCTAGTCTCCTGCTATGTTCATCATTAGAAAGAGAGTGTATCAATGTATAGGTTCATCTAATATTCAACAATGTTGGCTGATGATTCCGATGGGCAAACGTCGATTTTCAAAGAGCAACAAAGCTCATATGAAAACCAGATCGAATGTTTATTTTGAGGAGTGTGTAAGATTCACCTGATCATGATCTAAAGCACTCAACAAATTCGTGATTTTTATCTTGTTTCATTCAACAGACATACACACAATGTTAAAAGTGACAAGAGCTCTGCACCAACTAAAGCTATCGACCGATTATAAGACTCCCATAATTAGATGATCCCTCTAATAGCTAATTGTTTTGGTTTTTTAGTAATGTATATACTTTTTTATCTATAGATATATTTGTAAGCTTTACTTCAGAAATATTTTTCTATTCGTTTTGATATTCAAAACACTCTGTATTTGAATCATATAAAATATAAATAATGGACGTATGTATACGACATGTAAAAATTGATGCCTGTTGTGAACATGTTTAATTATCTTTAGTTTGACTTCTTGTCTTGTTAAGAAAAGTTAACTTTATAATTATTTTTAGAACTACATAAACATAAGACATCTCTTACGGATAATTATCTAATCACAAACTCTATGAGAAATGTTATTACTATGAGGTGTCAATTAATCCTTTGTTTATGCGATTAAGTACATTACATAATAAAGACACTGGTGTTATAAAAAAAAACCATCAATTTTTTAGGAATACAATAGAAAACTTTCTTGTAACTTGTGAACGATAAGACAGAATAGAAAACTCTGGATCTTCTAATGCGTTACTCATTTTACTGAGAGTATTTTTTTGACATCTTCAAAACGTTTTAGCCATATATTGATCTAATTGAAGTGTTATAACAGATTGTAGCAAATGAAGTAATTTGAAGGCGCTATTTAACTTCGAGGATGCAAAAAAATGAGGAATTTTAAGCAATTGAAACAGTTAAAAACCTTAAAGAAACTGGAAGAAGCAAAGAAATTCAAGGATTTCAAACAATCTAAAAGATTTAAGAAATAGAAAGAATTCATGAAACTCTCGGAATTGACAGAAATCAAAAATTAGAAAATTACCTTAGAATCCAAAGAAGTGAAGAAGTTTAAAATAATAAAGAAGGTTGAAGTGGTTGAAAACTAAGAGAAATGCCAGTAGTGCAAGGTATTCAATCCGAGTAATTCAAGGAAGTAAAGGATCTATATCACAATAGGCAGTTTTCACATAGAAGACAAACATATAATTGTTCTGGTTGGTGACAATTTTTCTTTGCTCAAAATCGTTTATATATATCATGTTGGAAATCATATGTAGGAAAACAAACTGTTTTTTCTCGAGAAATTTCTTTTTATCAGAAAATATCATTTGCTTTGCATTATTTAACGCAACTTCAGATACCAATAGCGAATATCTCCAGCAAGCTTTTATTTTAAGGAGAAAAAAAAATGGATCTAAGGATAAAACATCACAGCTTTTCGCGAGTTACTCATTACGTTCACATAAGCTACAGGTATTCAATGGATATAATCAACGCTAGATCTTACATGAAGGAAAACTCACTGAAATCTTGAGAACAATTTAAATTAGCGAATTTTAACGTTGACAAAAACGAGAAAAGCAATTTCGAAAAGGTTTTCAGTGTAAATGGCATTAAACTTTCCAAAAAAAAACGAATGCTACACATGATTTCGATGCGTATTGACGAGCTGATTGCGAATATTACCTCGGCTTTACATTAAACTAGCGTCTTAGATCCAATAAAAGGAATTCAAGAGAGAAAAATTGCTTTCGAGAGATTTAGAGTGGTGATTAAGTTGAGTAGTGTAAAAAGCGTTATGATCAATGTTGAACAAGAGCAAAATTGTTTTGTCCATTTACAAAATATGAAAATAGAAGTTCTTAGAACGTTATCGCCTAACAAACACTTTCTAGTAATATGGCTTAATGAAGCTCGGTAATCTGATTCTGAACATCATTGTGGTTTGGTGCAAAATGTTTCTGTATTTGAGCAATTAATGAGTGCCTAGCAAAGGTATGGATACGAGTGTGAGTCTTCTCTTCCCCATACTAACATTTTCACACTCTGAGAATGCCTATGATTATGATTTATATCTAGTCATTATTTTGATTGATGTGTGGATTCTGGAAGCTACAAGATTTTAGAATTCACAGAATTCGAATATGCCTCATATAATAGATATAATCTTTCATATAATATAGCTAGATTGATAATGCAAATTTAATAATAGCATTTTCTCAAAAAGAGTCTTATAGAAAATAAATCCGATAAAAAAAAATACTACGAGAATAATGAGCTTTCTATTTGATAAAATATAATTGATTTAATAATCTATAAATATCGGTTTATAAAAGGCTAACAATTTTGTGCACTGGATTTTAGTAAGATCTTTCGCGAAAATGTCGTGCCATCCTATAAGTACACTTTTCCATCGATTCAGATACCATTGTTACACTTACCAGATGATACAAAAATTGAAATTTTGTTTATAAATGATGTAGAATCTTGTTCAATCTTAATATCTGGCGGTTGAACAAGTTCTTCTGCTAGTGTTGCTAATGTTGTTTTCATTTGTTCCAAATCAATTTCATTGAATTCATTTTCTTGACGAATTTCTTTTAACTGTTCAGTCAATTGAGATAATTTTTTTTCTATTTCAATAAAATGTTTATTTTTATGTTCAATTAATATTTGCCTACATTCTTCGGCTGTTTGTTTAATTTTTTGAATTGAGTCTTCTTCCCATTTATCAACTTGCTGTATTAATGAAAACTTTTTCAGATCTTGTTTTTGTTCAACAAGTGTTTGATGAAGCTCATTACGATCATTTTCAATTTCTTCAAATTGTTTACTCAGCTGTTGACGATGCTCTGTTAAATCTTTTAAACAAAATTTTTTTGAGCATCCTTCACATGAATATATGAGTTTTTCTTTATTACATGCAAAACATTTTCCTCGATCATTTGGTGTTATTGTTGCCATGGATTGAATATTTTGATTATAAGGATTGTATCTATATGTGAAAATGTGAGAGAAAAATGAAAAAAAAAACAAGATAGGTTTATTATGTAAATGCATGGACGTATATAATAAAAAGATGAGTCACTGTCAATAAGTATATCGACGTGAAGCTGCACAACACGACGAGAGAAAAAAGTTTATTCGTCGAATGAATGACCAATCAGAAAATCGAAAACATTAGATTGAAGGTTGATAATTTGGAAATGGCTACTAGTAGCAACCCAGAACTCTAAAAAATGCCATGCGTCTAACAAGATGTTTCATCCGTCTTAAGTCTAATTTAGACGCGTGAGCTGTCTCATTTTGGGTGTGGGTGGGTGTGGGTGTGAATGGAAGAACAAAGCAACACCCACACCCACACCCGACCGTTACAAGATTTGAATTGTTACCAAATGAAATCTGGATGAATTTTCATGTCGATACATGATTTCCTATTTCCACCTTTTTGATACAATTTGTGGGTGTGGATGTGGGTGTAGGTGTGGGGTGTGGATGTGGGTGTGGGTATACGGGTGTGAACATCAATTTTCTCTTCATGCATGTCCACACGTCTTTTAATTTGAAGAATACAAAATCTGTAGACATACAAAAAAAAATATTCTCACAGCATATTAATCAAACTAATTTGATCTTTCAAATTCTCAGAAGAATCTATTATTTCTGAGAGATTTTATTTAATATTTCTTTGATTTTTGAGATACACGAAAATATATAGAAAAAATTATTTAATCAGTTCTTGATTCCCATATTCCAACACGTGTTTGTTTGTTGAAATTTGCGTCTTGTTAATTATTGGATCGGTTCTTAATAAGTTTTCACTTTGCCATGTTTTAAAGTGATAACCTATTCTAACGACTTTTTACAGTTGTTTATTGGATATCAAAACACTTTCCTTGCCTGATTGTAAACAGTTCTATGGAGTTCATCTTGATAAATATGCTAAATGATATTTAATTGCCCTTACAATCCAAAGTAAGTGTATATACTTTTGACTTCAATTCTGGTGCTTGTGTTCTGAAATGATTTATCTTTATCAGTGAAAAAAAGTCTAAGGTGATGAGTTGATATTTTTCTAATGATAATAACAGTGAAATTGCTTTTATTTAAATGAATGAACTTTTATTCATATTTTTATTTAAATAAGAGATGATAATAATCAAAGTATTATAGCACAAGGAAAATAATCTTTTAAATGTTCAGGAAATTCTGATTTGTTAATAAAAAAGATGACTTTCAGTTTTGCACAATTGTTTCGTGTTTCATTTCTTGTAAAATTGTGTGTGACGTTCTTTAGTAATTGATAATCTGTCTGAAGAAAAATCCCATTTGGTAAAGACATTTTAGTATCGAATAAAAATTGTTCAAGATAATCTTCGTCAATTTTTATAAGATTAAGGTCCATAAGATGAGAATATTTAATCCCCATTGACAAACGTTGATTGTCATTTTTTTTTGATTGTTCATAAAATTTGTTAATTTGTGGTTTCATATTAATTAAAGTCAATTTCTTCATCAATGGAAATGATTCAGCAATACGAAGAAAAAATTCATGTTCAAAAGAACGTTCATCAAATAATGATACTTCACGAACACATTTAAATATTCCACCTGGAAAATTATTTGTTATATTATCATAATGTTTTAATTTATATGGATATGAATAAATATGACATTGACTAGAATTTCTCTTTGGAAAATAATCAACACAAGAAATAATTTGATTATCTTTATAATCATTGAATGTATGTTGAATATCTTCATTTGACGGTATATTAATTTGATTATAAAAATGACTGAATGAACGAATATTAAATGTAAATTTGTTCAAGAATGGCATATTATTAATAATATTTGTCTTCAAATCATTACCATCAACAAATGTTTTTTTGCCCGAAATTATAAGAGATAAATCAAGTTCTTCTAAATGAGACATTCGATGCAGAAGTGGTACAATTAATTCATCATAAACATTTGTGTCTTTATTACAGCACAATGAAAAGGATCTTAAATTAGGAAGTTTTTTCTAGAGAAAAAAAAAAGAGAAGAAATATTACTTCATGTAAATAAATTAAATATTAATCAAAATAATTTACTTGATTATCAATTGTTAAATTTGAAGAGGAAATGAAATTAATATTAACATGAAGTATACGAAGTTCATTGAAACATCCATCAAGTAAATAAAGACAATCGGTAAAATGATTGAGACAAACGTGTAATTCTAACAGAGTTGAAGAGGAAACATTTGGAGATGAAATACCAAATGATAATTCTTGATACCATGCTGAAGGTGGACAAAAATTTAAAAATTGTAGATATCTGAACGTAGTTATGATACGCATAAATATACGTGTATATACATTTTCTGTTGAATTTAGTGATCCATTTGCATTAATACTGATAACAAGTGATAAAACTTGATTTTTGAACATACAAGTGAACAAACTTTCATCTAAATAATGAGAAGTATATAATTCTTTTTTGGTTATTAACAAAAAAGCTTGTTCATGTAGCTTCTGTAGGGCTAGAATGTAGAACTCACATATCTTCTTCAACTTCGTTATACTAATACAAAATATATATACAGTGAAAATTTTTGCATTTCAAGAATAGTCAACTGTCAGAGAAACGATTTGTCTTACTTATTTCTATATCTTGAACAGAATTTTTTTCTTTTTTTTTTTACTGATGCTCTGCTTCTTATTTCTTCGATTACTAAGGGGAGATTCGTACTCAATGATCTTTGATCGCGATTACTATGGAGAAAGCAAAGTAGGGAGGTGAGCAGGAAAAGTTTGCCTTAAAATTTATACTCCCTATTTTCTTTCGTGAAATATGTGAGTTCCACAAAATGTTAACACCTGCTAACAATCACATTTCTAACAAACATTGAAATGAATATAGTACAGAATAGATTTTTATTCCTTTTTTATGAGTTATTTTTAGGAATCAAAGGTCAAACTTGATAATAAAACTTAGGATTAAAGCTCGAAGGTAAATGTTAGACTTTTGAAGTGACAGCCTAAAGGATCTACAGTCTATGGAAAAGAGAAAGATATTTTGTTTGAAAAAACTTAATATTCGCTTTTGAGTTTTAACTCTAAGTTTTATTATCAAGTTGATCTCTGATCTCTAAAAATGACCTATAAAAAAAGAAAATCGATGCCGCTGTCTACAAGTTAAATTATGAAAGAGAACACGCTTAAAAGATAATTTATAGATTATGTTCTATTTGAAACGATTTCTTTGATAGGAATTTTCTTCTTATTCATATGGACAAATAAATATGAAATTGATTTAAATAAATTCATCCGATATATAGCTTCAATATTTTTATCACTGAAGAATCGAAGTTAAATATCTTACTATTAAAAAGATATATAGCTTTTTCTTCTTGAATGTTATATAAACCAAGTCCATATAAATTAGGATAATTTGTAGCAAGAAGAATACGTTCCATTGAAAATGATTCAAGGTCAAGCCATTTGATTTTATCATGAATTTTAGGTAAGATTTGTAAACAAAATCGATCAAGTATTCGATCAGATAATGGTAAAACACAATAATTCAATGAAGATTTTAGCAAAGTCAAACGATTCGTAAAAAAAGAATCACATACTATTTTATTTAATCGTTTATTAACACCAATTAAAGAGTAAAGTACATCGATATTAGACAAGTTTTTCAAAATATAAATAAGAATTTTATCAGATAAATCATTTAACTGAACAGATGAATATTCCATGTTTATCTCTATCGAAATCTATTTTGCTTAGCTTTATATAAATGTATTTCTGTATTCTACTTGACTGACTTCGTCAATGAAGACAATAACGCATTGTTTCAGGATTCAAATTGACTGTGAATGAATGGATAACTAATAGAAATGATATTTTCTCTCTTTTTCTTGTGTAAAATATCGTTTGATTTGTGGACTAAAGATGTGCATAGCGCGCAGGCAGTCCGTGTTGTCGAATAAATTTGTAGAGTTCAATACTTGAACGTTAGTTCTGCGTCAGTTTCTTTTCCTGATATGTACGCTCAGTGGATTCAATCGTCTAAAAATTATCTGAAACCAAAATCGTTATCGTAGGTAACAAAAATTAGAAAAAAAAATATTTTCACTAAGAAATTATGACTGTTTATTTCTTCAAATCAACGACGTCCTACACGTTGTGGTCTAAGGGTGTGGGTGTGATTGAAAAGAAAAGGAACACCCACACCTACACCCACGTAATCGGGAGTAACTTGGATAAGTGGCATCATTAATGATTTTGATGGGAATAGACGACATTCTAGTTGAGGGGATCTGTCGTAGAAATTTTCATATCATGGAAAATAACATTATGCGTTTTCTTTTTCAAGAAACCGTCGATAATGATCGATCCTATCATTTTGATCTACTTTCTTTTCTGTTCAAATTCAAATGAACATGGAAGTTTACCTAATGGTTCAGCAGTTGTTTTACCGTATGGTTTTAATTCTATCTGTACAGTATATTGTAAATAATGATATAGAAAATAGAGTGTGTCCAGAAAATGAACATTTATTTTATGGTTTTAATACGTCTTTCATTTATACTTCTTTTTTCTTCGTTAATATGATATTCTTTAGAAAGCTTCGTATTTTGAACACAGTCACAAACTATAATGAAAAATGGCTTTTCCTTTTTGAAGTGGATTACAACGAATTCGTTTCTGCAGTTAAAAATGAAATATTTTTATGAGCTCATATTCATCGATTTTTCTCTAGAAAGAGGCTGTATGTTGTATTGTCAACTGATTTCTTTGGTGTTGATTTATATCATTGTATTACAATACCATATCTTTTTGTCATCGAAAATCGTATTTGTTTTTACGATAGTCTGATAGAAAAAAGCATAGTAAGAATTGCTTTTTATGAACAACATAAAAACAGAAATGTCAAGAGCTCAGTAATTAATATTAGAATACGATGATCAA